TATTATTTTTAAAATATATTAATCATTTAATTAATATTAATTAACTAATTTGTATATTTTGGAGACTAAAATTTTTCACTAGTAACCAAAAATAAATATTCAGTGGCCAAATAGACACTAAGGAAAACTAGTTAACTTGGAGGGTTGATATATCGCATTTCTGTGACAGCTCTTCGTTGACAAACTTAACTGACCGATCTATTATCCCAATCTCCCAGAGCTTTTTCAAAAAACGCATTTTTTGGACATTTTCAGCATTTTCAGCCTGGATGCGAGCAGGATGCGAGACAGCATGCCTTTCTTTCCACTAGCATTGCATATTATGCCATTTTTGCTCAGCATGTGCAGAAATCAAAATTTCGAGGTAGTTTTTGGATGAGAAAGTGACCTAATTGTCCTTAGACTTTTCTGTTTTTTCATTTTTTTTTCGCTTTTACTTTTTCACACTTTCTTATCTTATTGCTGCAGTGATTGATCTTCTCCTGGGCTTACTTCCAGTTTAAAAATTCCCAAGAAAGCATCGAGATGGGTAATTCTTACCATGGAGTAGCTAAGTGTAGTCGCAGGAAATTTTGCTACAAGTTTTGCCTCAAATTTCTGTGCATTTTTGTGCATATTTCAGGCTCCATTGAGCCAATCACTGTGATCTGGGCATCATTGGAAAGATCCTTTCCTCCTGTAGAACGTGAGTATAGATGATGCCAATTTGGTCAAAGGTGATGATGTCAGAAGTGGAACAAAGGCTAACGCTCGTTACGGCCAGTTACAGCAGGCACTGGCATCAATGGGTTAAAACGTGGACAAAAAACATGCATCCTTTTTGCAGTGTCTGTTTGAGGTGGCTCAAAACAGTTTCCAGAAGTAGATTTTGATGGGTCATTATGACCACTCTGTATCACTTAATGCTACAACTGTGGTATCAAAAACCTGCCCAATCATTGGTGAATAACAATAATAAATTAATAATAAAAATGACTGATATTGACATGCAATGATCAAAGGTGCATTACATCATGAATTCCAAAAATTATATGAAATTTTTAAAAGCTAGTTTAAACAGGTATGTTTTGAGTAAGGATTTTTTGTGACACAATAAGTTACCATAGCAACAGTATGAACTGCTAAATGCACCCTTAATGACAGCTTTAGAGGCTTAAAATTCAAAAATGTCACAGTGAAATTTTTCATATCAAATTTTTAACCTGTAAATAGGGTTCAGAGCCACCTTAAAGTTTTGAAAATTTAAGGTGGCTCTGAACCCTAAGTAAGGAATTTTATAGGACTTTGCCCAAAGTTATTAAAATTTGATAATACAAAAAAAATTTCACCATGCCATTTTTAAGTCGTGAATGAAATGAACGACTTACAGCAATCAGGAATGAAATGGGGATAAATTTTGGTGTTAACTCCATAGGTAGCCTGGCAATTCTGTATAAAGTTAATATTAAATTTTGTAATGCAGGCGCAGACAATGTGGGTTCGCTCATGCATTGAATTTCTTTGCCGTTGGGTGAAGGACAATTTCTTCGTACTGTTATATTCTGGAGTGCTGTTTATGCAAGTGTTTTGTCCTCTGTTACACACATTACACATACACATTGTCGGTTCAGCATTTTAGGCACATGGGTATAATCAAGAGTTTACATGAAGCTTGATGAAATGTTATTTTGTTGATTGCATGACGTGCATTCACAGTTCAGAAGTGGTTACCTAGAACATGATCAAAATCTGCCCCAATCAAATTTTGTCACAATTACAAATAGCCGTGTTCAGCAGCAAAATGCGGTGTTTTTTTCTTAAAATTTCAACACTTTTTGCCAGAATTTCTCAGTTTCACTGCAGAGAACCAAACTCAACATCCATGTATCAGAGTGGTTGAAACTGTACGCGAAAAGAAGTTAAATATTTCTACAGCAAACACAAAGCCCTCGCCAGCATTTTTAATGGACAAATCTGGCTAAATCCCTGTGGCAACAGGCAAGTCTCTTCGGCGAAACATACAAGTTTTCTGGTGGAAATACACTTGAGCGCCACCGAAATAAAATGTATCCTTGATATTATTAAAAAGAAATTGACAGGTAAGTCATCAAAAAACAGTGTTCCTGGATGTTGATGGAAAATAGTCTCTCATTCAAACGAAAACGTTTCCATATGACTGAAAGGAATATACATATATACTTGCTGGCTTTACAAATTCGACACCATAACTGTGTCACTGAAAACTGACCTGTGTAAGCCTAATTGTTTTAAATTCTACTTGTTTTTAATTTCGCTTCCTTCTCTTCAAAATGATTTTTTGTAGTTGGGCTCACTTAGGCAAGATGCAGTTTAACGTTCAAGGCATCGA